TCTGCCTTGTTCTTTCATGAGTAGAATTTGTGTTGGAAAAGGATGAATGCATCCTCAGGCTGTTTGATGTAGTCTTTGTCACTATGTTTGGTTGTCACTCAGGACCTGTGAGTCAAATTGTGTGTGTGTGTGGGATGAGGTTGAGCAGGTTGTAGAGGTTGAGACTGTGCCTGTTAGACAGGTTTAGAGTAGTTGGCAAGTGACAATAGGAGATAAAAGGTGGATGTACCACAACAGTGTGCAGTGAGTGTGAGTGGTGCATACAGGTTGAGATCCAGAGCATTGAACGAGTTGATTCAGGCTGCAGACAAAGCTGTATCAGTATGTATATGATTATATTCTGACTGACATGCAATTGGAGGAGCAGTGAACTGAGTCGTTTTTGTGGATTGCAAAGGTGTATCTCTGGGACGTACCAGCTTGAACAGAGAAGATGAAGTGGAACATATGGACAGACCCAGCTCAAGAGGGGTAAGTGGCAGTCCACTGCTTCTGTTTGATATGGTGTTGTCCACTACACTAGGGAATGTAAATGCACGTAGGGTGGACCTGTAGAGAGTAATGTTAAGCATGGAATGGGTGAGGAAGGAGAGCATGTACAGTGTCAAAGAGAGGGTTGTACCATGGGAGTGGTTGTATGTTAGTATTGTTGTGAGCACACACTTGTTGACTGTTGCTTGCACTACAGAGCAGGAAGTACACAAATGTATGGAAACATTGAAGAAGTTGTTTGGCATTAGTCAACAATGTGGATGCATGAATACAGATGCAAAAAGGAAGGCAAGCATAAACAAAGGAGTACAATGTAGGAGAGGCAATGCAAGCAGCAGAGCAAGGAGCAGGAGGGGTGGAAGGGAGACAAAAAGTTGGGAGGAGAGGGATGAGCAACCATTGTGCAAGTTATTATGAAGTGGACTGGCTGCTTACACTTTACACTGAAGGACTGTGTAGCCAGCTGGGTTGTGTTGTCACAGGATCTGAGGTTCAGTGCAGGCAACACAGTAGTAGATTAGAGAGACAAATACAGTAATGTTTATTGTCTAGGTGGTTGCAGCCAGTGTGCCTGCTAGAGGATGCTTGTAGGCAGAGGACTGAGCTGGAGAGAACAAGAGTAACAACATAGTGTTGGGGGAAGAGGGTTGGGGAGATGGTGGAGGTAGGAGGAAAAGGAGTGACAAGAGCAAGTGCATCATTATATTAGTACTCTACACTGTAGCATAATTTACAGTTATGCCTTCAGTGTATACAGTTATGCAGTGTATTGTAAATGACTTTTGGAGCTGAAAATACACATGTATTTTTACACACATATGTGTATACTTTGCCCCAAAAAATCCTGTATACAGTGTATACAACATACAGTTGAAAATACCTTATTGTATCACATTATAATGTATAAATTGAATATTGCATAGCTTTCTGCCTAATCCCAGCTTGGGATAAGGGAATTATGTACAAAAATAGTCTATTACATATTGTATCAAGATTTGTGAGAAAATTATGCAAAATTCTGAGCATTTTGGGAAATTAGACTGCTTACTGTTGTGATTTTTGTACCCAGAAGCCTCACATATTGTTCTCTAACATACTTCAACACAAAAAGAATGTTTCTGATTGACATTTCATTACTTACAATGTCTTTGATGCTGCCACAAGACCAAGATAGGGCAGCAAAGATCTCTTCATAATATGTGGGGGAAAGTTATTTGTATTGACTTAGATTTGACTAGCTTTTTCTATCTTTTTGTTTCTACAGATTCTGACTGTATTTCCTTGTATTACAAACTATTTCTTGAGTTTTACAGTAATATACACATTTACTGTACTTGTCATTGTCTTGGTTGTCTTTCTTGATGCTCTAAATATGTGCTTATTTTCTTGTCATACTGTATATGTCTTCAAATAAATTGAAAAGTAATATCGAATGTTGTGTTCCTAATTAAGTAATGTTTTCGCACAGTTACCATAATGCATATTGCTCATATTGTATAGGTCTGAGGCCTCTCCCAACATTATGTAATAAGATATTTTCAACTGTATACACAGTACACAAGAGACCTAGGAGATCAGCAGTTCTCCCTATTTAATCTGACATTAATCAATTCAACAGCCTTTTATAGATAGGTTGCTTCTTTGTACCTGCTCTTAAACTCAAACTTTGCATGTGTGATAATATGTGTGGTTAGCATTCCTCTCACCCCCTGACTGTCTCTCACTCCATCACTAGTGTCCTACTTCCCCCTACTGCTTTCAGTAATATTAATCATCTGTTAAACAAGATAGATGCTTGATAAGAAGTAGATAACATTGTATGAAGATGTCTGCAAGGATTTCTTTTGTCTAGGTGAGCCACATTATAGGCAATTGGTTCAGAGACTGATTATGTGTGTCTAGTGTAATCCTTGTTGTTTCTAGGTATCTTTTCCCCATATAGATATGTTTCTTCAGAATGTACTGTGTACCTATCAAGATAATCTTTTCATCAGTAATGCCCTTATGAGATCTGTGATCATCTGTCTCACAGCTATGCTCACCTTAGTCTTTGTAGCTTTTTGCTCAAATTTGTAGACCATACTGTCTCTTAGTACTCACAAGAGCTCTATAACAGTTTAACCACTCTTGAAAAAGCTAACAATGTGATTATAGATTTGAGTAGTACAATGACAAAGGTGATCAGCTTAACAATTGGACCCTAGATCTGGTAGGATACAGTAGCTGGTAATATTTTTCTGATACAATATTTGTAAGGTCTGACTTATTCAAATCAATCTTAGTACAGTAGCTTGAAATGGGATAGGTTATATATACTTTCAAGCAAATACTTGATGTCTAGATTGTACTGAGTGAATTTTTTCATAGTCACAGTCTCCTGCACATTTACTGAACAGTACCTTCAAGTGCTTCCTATACACTGGTAAGTCTTTCAAACTTGAGCATACATAGTATATTATTAATTCTTATTGTTAGTACTACAGGATGAGTGAAGATACAACAAATAGTAGAAAGCAGAAGCAACAGGACAAAGTTGACTTGGGCAACATTGTTAACAACAAACAGTAGTGTGTCCAGTCAGCAAAGCTCTGCAAGAATGCTAATACATTGAAGAAACCTCAAGCAAGGAAGAGTAAGGACCTGGGTGCTGCTAGTCACCCAGTCCTGATAGAGAGTACAGATGACAAGGATACATCTGTTCAGGAGATGGATTCTGAGTCTGATAAAAGTAAGGATGAAGAAGTAAGTACATATCCCTCTATACTATTATTCTAAAGCTCACAACAAGCATTTTTACACTTAGGAATCTCTTCCACAACTAGGTACACTGAAGAAAACAGTACAGGTAAGAAAACTGCTTTTTTGGATACATTTACATATTACAAGTCTTTCAGGCAAAGAGACATCCTCTTACAAATACAAAAAGCACATCAACAGTAGTCTCTCAGCAGAAAAATGATGAGTCTTCAGTTGCTGTTAATGATGAAGATAACCAAAGTAAAGCTAAAGTAAGTTTTTGTATTAATATCCAAGTTTTTTTGTGTGTTTTCTTTACATATTTAATTAGGTGTCAAACTGTATCATGTTGTTCTATAAACAAGTCCCTTGTAATGCTAATAACTATGCTGAGGATGGAACCAAGTATTTCCAGTACTGCCATCCTCATACTAATGGACTGTCTAAGATTCTGAAGATAATGCAAGCAATGCATGGAAGCAAGACTAGTAGGTTTACTGGTACTTTTTCTAATATGTATCTTACTTTTTTCAGGTCTCAGGCAGTATCTAGAAAGCTATAGTAATATGTTTTCATTCTACAATTTCCTCAGAGTAGTAACAGCTTCATGCTTGCCTACTTCTAAAGAGATAGACATTGTGAATCAAACAAGTATGTTTGCTTACATAATCAACATAGACTTGCTTAATGTGGTTTCCTTAGTAGTACTCACTTGAGAGGAGCTCAGGGAGATTGTCAAGGACTTACCTGATGCTAATAATATTGTAGAGATGTTTCAAAAGCAAGAGAACAAGAAAATGGTAAGATCTTTATTATTTACTTATATCTATCTTTTAATTTTGTCTCTTTTTCCTTGTCATAGGTACCCTGGGAGCATGCAACTTTCAAGTAATTCCTTGTGGAATGGGTTGTTAAGACTGATCAACCATTTACTGCCACAGAGGATCCTACCTTCCAAAGGCTTTTACAATACATTCACTAGGCTGGAAATCTTTCTATTCTATCAAGTGACACAGTGAAGCATAACATTCAAGATATGAAGACTGAAGACTTTCAAAGAACAAAGGCAATGATCCAGGTAAGTCTACACTCATCTCTTTATTTTCTCCCCAATTCCACAGGTTCTTTAGGTCACTTAGGTCAACCATGTATATGGCAGACTTAACTGACTGTCTATACTAGCAAGCTTGTTGAGAGCTACAGCTGAGAATGCTTGTACTAATTGTATTACTCTGTTACAGGGTCTAGAGTCTAAGGTTTCACTATCCTTAGATGCATGGACGTCCAGTAATGAATATGCCTTTTTGGCCATTGTCATACATTACATTACAAACAACTGGAAGTTAGGTATGTATATCTAAATGTAATCTAAGTTTTGACTACTAAATTATTTCTAGATGAAAAGCTTATCACTTTTGAGGAGATATCTGGCCACCATAGTGGAGATAATTTGGGTGCCATTGTATGGTAGGTTATTGAGTAGTATGGTATTAAAGAGAAGGTACAGCTTTGCTTATGTAATACGAGTTTGCATTCTTCTCACATCTTTTATCCACTTCTTGTATTTCATGTAGCTGATTACAATTACATGTGACAATGCTACAAACAATGATACTATACTGTAGTACATTGGAGGAAAAATGTATAGTGACAATATAGATTTCTCTTCTAACAATGCTAGAATGTAATGCATGCCTCATACAGTCTACTTAGCAGTTATGAAGGTAAGTGTCTCTTTCATTACTTTATTTCCTCTAATGCTTACACTATTAAAACAGCTCCTTGAAGCTCTAGGAGCTATAGATTATGTTGATGAGTCTGCTAGTACTTATCAGGAGGATATAAACCCTGTAGACAAAGACAAGGAAGCTATTTGCAAGGATGGATGTGAGGAGGAGGAGGATATGTCTAATACTATTATTTCTATTGCAAAAGTGAGTAAATAGTATGTTAGTGTTTTGAGGTCATGATGTTTCCTAATTGATAGGAAATATTCTTCTGTAGGTTTGCATGCTGCTCACAAGGATACTAAGAGTAAGTCACACTAGTAGGGGTTCAGTGGACTCTGCTCATAGTGTGTAGGTGTCAATACGAGTCAACTGTGCATAAGTTCTTAATGAGCTTCATTGTCCTTAGATTAAAGTAATATATATGCTATCTAATATTGTATGTCTCAGATGTATGTCTCAGAAGACATGTCTCAGCAATAGTGTATATTTGCAAGACGTTTGCATGATTTGAGACATATGACACATTTATCCAAAATAAATGTTAACACTCCCCTTCAAACTTATACTAGTTGATCAGACTAATATAATGTTTGATATGCGTTTGTCTGTTGTTTTTATTAATATCATTTACATTCACAATGTAAATGTTTCGTTTGCTTCGTATATTAAGTCCACTGTAAGTGTTGTGTTCGTCCGATGTATTATTATAATGTTTGATGTAATAAATTGATTGTTGATTCAATTATGATTGCTAAGAGAGCTGCAGGATCTCTTTAGCATTTGTTTGTTTGTAGTTTTATTATTATTACTATTATAGTTGTCACTATAATGTTTTATCATTCATATGATAGTATTTTTCTCGTTTGCAATATAATATGATATGTTATAACTTTGTTTCGTTTGTTTTTCATGTCATATTGTTTGTTTTGTGTCATAGTATGTTTATTTCTTCATACTGTACTGTTCTGCAGTTGTTCCATTATTTGTTTTGTTTGTATTCATATTATTATACATGTAGTTCGTTTTATATTCTTACACTCATTGTGTAATTAGAATTGTACTTTGTTTGTATCGTTTCGTTTGTATAGTTAATACTATATTTAATAACAATGTGTGTGTTATTAATTTGTTCACGTTAATTTGTATTCTTGCACATTTGAATTGTGTTACTAGTAGTTTTTCCACTTTTACTTTTGTAATGAAACTGTTGAATCATGCTTGTAAAATGTGTTATTAATGTTATTATGATGTCCTCTATTCATCATGTATCATCTTTGTTTGTTTTGTTTTGTATTCATGCCTTTTAAGCATTCAATTATAGTTCTATGCCTTTATATTGAAGCATTGTATTGTTTGCAATTTGTAATATCATGTATGATATGTCAGATTGCTTCATATTAAGGTTGATTGAGGTTTTATTCTTCTGTTATTTGTATTGTTTTATCATCTGACTGTTTGTAAGTCTGTTTAGGCACATTATTTATGTTTTAAACATATGATATGTTTGTATCGTTTTGCCGTTTTGCAGTAGATATATTTATTATCAATATATGTGTGTATTGTGTTTGTTATCATTTAATGTGTCCTTCAACTTTTACAAACTATAACATTATTCGTATGTTTGTATTGTTTTATTGTTGTGATAATGTTTTATTATCATTGTGTAATGTTTATTCGATTAATATATTGCTCTGCACAGTTATAATACATGTTTGTTGCTTTTATTTTGTAGATAGATGAAGTAGTGCACTTTCACAGTTCTATTTTTCATCATATATTGTAATATTCGTTCGTTTTATTGCTTATTTTGTGTCAAATTCTGTTTGATATTGTTTTAATCATTATATTTGCTTTATTTGCTGAATATATGTGTGCATTTGTTATGAGATATGAATTTATTTTGTTAATTTTGAGTGTATTGCTCATTTTGTTCATTATGATCAACATTATCTTGTTTGCTTCAAAAGGATTAACGTTTTGATTACTGTTACATCTGTTGCTTCTTTTAATTAACTTACACGAGTGCTTTGCATGTCTAGCATTGATTGCTTTGGGAATATGTGCCATTCCTTGGCTACATTGCATTAATTCTTAATTATCTGTCCAAATATTACTTTGTTTGATTGATTATTTGTTTGCTATTATGTCCTGCATGCTAGGGAATAAGTGTTGTAAGTTTTGCATGATGCATGATTGTTATTTTCAATGTATTATATGTTCCATTTGAGGAAAGCATAGTTGTGTTTGATATTTCTGTATAGTTTGTTATGTACCAGAGATGCTTTTCCACTCAACATTATTGCATGTAGCATACTTCTTCGTGTTTAGGTATATACTCCATAATATATTCGTTCGTAATACGTTCAATTGGTGCCATGTATGGTGTGACCATTAAAGATTTCAGAGAAAATGTCTCTTGTATAAGTATTTCATTGTTGAATTCAACAGATTTGCTTCTTATTTGTTGTGATAACTTTGTAATTATGTTTTGTAGGATGTGCAAGGTTAAATAGTGACATAGTTAATATTTCTGCATCATTTAATCGTTCGCTATGTTTCTATTATTTGTTATGTTTTATGTTTTGTGAATTTTATGTTTGTGAATATATGCTATTACTCCCCTTCAATTTGAGAAGGTTCACTTTGAGCAATTAGCTTTCGTGTGTGTGTAATTAATTTGTTCATGCATTTTCGTCATTTAATCATTCGTTTAAGCATTGTGTATTAATGTGTGAATGTGTTTTGTTCAATAACTTCAATGTTATTTGTTATTTTTGTCTGATTTTGTTATTAATTCTTTATAGCATTTGTACTCTTTGTTATTCAAGTTTATACTCAAATAGATTGTGTGTATGCTTGTGTATTTCATTTAATTATTATGCATACGTCTGAATAGTTTGTTAATCATTTGGTATAGTGTTGTTTTAGCAAGCATAAGTTTGCAATTTCGTTCGTTTTATTTGTATACATTATGATGCATTGTTTAGATTTGCTCAGTATTGTTTGTCTTCTGTTTGATGACAAAAGTATTCAAGCTATAGTGTTTTGTTTCTGTTCTGTTTATGTATTTTATTCTTTTGTGATAGGTGCAAGCTCAAGCAAGGCTGTTAATGAAGAATACACTGTTATGATATTGTTTGAACTTCAAATAGCTAATGATATGCTTTAAGTATTGATCATAGATTTATTCTTTGCAAATTCTATCTTTCTGCCGTTTGCAGTGATCTATTAAATCCGTCACACATTGTGTTTAATCATTTGTAAAGTGTTTGATCAAGTTCCAAACTTATGTTTGTTTCTTTAGATTTTGTTCCAACATTCGTTCATCTTTTGTGTACTTGGCAGTGGTGTTTGTTCTGTTGTATGGCCCTTCAGACTATCTGATATTAGGCTCTAATGTTTTGTAGCATTAGTTGTTTTGTTTTGCATCTGTATTATTGTATTTCGTCATGTTTTTAAGTAATATTTAATTGTTTATATTGTTTATACTGATTGTATTAATTGTATTGACTTAATACTTTGTTATCATGTATATCTTATTGATATATTATATTGTTACAATGTATTTGTAACTATCGTTTGTTTGATTTTGCATTGTAATAGTAATTGTACAAGGTATAAGATATGTATTTGCCTGTATAGTATTGATATTGTGTTGATATTATGCATATATGCATCATTATATTGTTTCATTGTTTGTAGCATTATGT